ACTTTTGGTAAGCCAATAGAAAAGGTCAATAGTAACTTGGCAGCTAAGTTTTGAGTTTGATATCTGTTTGGCCTACAATGGACTAAGCCAATTTACGCTCTTCACTTCCCAAACGCCTCAAAAAACCGCTTCAAAAAGGCATACATCTCTGACAAGTTTAAATTCATAAGTAACAATAAAATAAAATCATAGAAAGCAACTGGTAAAACAAATTGCATAACAACCAGCCAAACCCTGAGATAAGCATTTGTATTACAAGCCCAAATCCCAAATTGAATTCGAGCTCAACTTGAAAAGGCATTAAAAGTTGTGCTTAGCCCCAAATCGAAGCAATTTCCGTCAACAGTTTTGCGCCATTGAGCACAAAACGAATCGACGTTCGACGCTCGGCTAATCAAGCCAATTTTGTGCGGAAAGACTTTGCGTATACGTAATGTGATCTAAGCTAATGCCATAGATCATTTATAATTATTAATGATGTGAGTTGGATTGATGCGGTCACACAGCTGACAGCTTTATAAATAACTAATATATTTAGCTCAATGCTTGAGCTGAAAGTGAACAAGTTTAATTCAAGTTGAGCTGGCTTAACTGGAACTTTGTGTAAACTTAAGTTGAACATATGTACATAGTTATATATATATGTTCAACTTAATATATATATATATATGTATATACATAGATATGTATATACTCACCGCTGCCTTTTGCAACTTGCGGCTTAGGCAATTTGCCGTGTATGCGCCACATCCATAGATTAACTCGACCTTTGCCCAACTTTTGTTGGCCTTGTTAAAGCTCTTTATCTCACCCCTCTCATTCTCTCGCTCTCTTTCAACCTTTGTGCTGTCATTCCTGCCTGTTACATTCCTGTGCCTATATCTTTTTTTATGCCTAAGCCTACAAAAAAACTTTTTGGCCGCACATTTTTCTTTTGGGCTTTTGGGCTGTTCTTGCTCTTAGCCAGTTCGGCTGGCTTTTGGCCTGTCTTTAGGTATTTAGGCCCTGACGCCGCTGGCCATTGACTTGAGCAGCATATCAAATTTTAAATATATATGCTTTGCTCATATACAGAAATATGTCTAACGGTTCAATAGTTATTTTATCAAACATCAAATTGCGCATACGCCGCGTATGTCGCTTGGTCCATTTTTTATGCCTGTTGTCTTTTTGCGCTTGGCTATTAAAATGCTTTGCTAGACTAACAAGTACACACGCACTTTTTACGCTTTATTGCTTACACAAACATCAATTTTAATATTGTTTTTATGTGCGGCCCATAAATTGCGTGCAGCGCGACTTTTTGTTTGTTTTATGCTTTGTTTGCCCCTTTCACATGTGGTTTGAATTTGAATTTTGTTGTATTTTTATATTACATTTAATACGCAACAAATTCTGTTGAAAATGCTGAAAATTTGCTTAAAAACCATTTTTAATTTCTTTTTGTAATAGAAAATATTATTTAAAAAACTTGTGACAAGCAGAAAATTCAGGTATAAATTATAAATTTATTTATTATATATTTTATATTTTTAAGCTTGAATAAAATATCAATAATATATTTCTCTTAAATAAAAAAGTCGTGTGAAATAGTCCGTGGGATTACTGTTCTCATTTGTCTGGTTCCTCGAGTCACTCTGAGTATCCCACACTAAAGCTAAGACTGTGAGTAAGCTATTGATCTATCAGATGTTGTAGCTCATCCAGCATAGATCGCTCAGCTCAAACAAAGTTTTCATAGTTATTAATATTTTCTATACTTTTATTTACTATTTTCTAAATTTTTTCATTTCCAATCTACTTGCATCAAATTTATATTCTATAAATATCAATCAAATATTTGCCATACATTTTATACTGTCTATACACAGTGCCCTTAATCGGATTAGTCAAAAGTCTAAAACATAAAAAATGTATTTCATTTTGATGCCAATTTTTATCTCTGGCGGCGAAGCTTTGTTTATTTTGTATAAAATATTTAAATGCAATCTATTTGACTTGATCAAATATTCATGAATTCCATCAAAACAAAAATGTTGTAGCGTCAATAGCTTTGCTGATTAACGCGCAGTTTTAATTTCCGCTTTAACTGGATGACAAACTGAGAGTTGCAAAAGTTTCAATTGTTTTAATCAACTGCATTTGAATTAAATTAGAGAGTTTTGAGGGGCGAAATTAAGGCCGAACTTTAAACAAATTTTCGCATTCAGAGAACCGCAAATCTAATTAAATTTGTAGCCAAAACTTATGTATACGCCTCTCGCTCAGCCACACTCACTCTGTCTCTCTATCTCTCTCTCTCACTTAACAGTTAATGCGCCATTTTGTAGCTACAAAATGCGCACAGATTCGTATCGAGCGCATGTGGGCAACGACGGCAAACAAAGGACTAAGCGCTGAAGCCTGACACCGGCTACACGTATAATGAGCCAAAGGCAAAGTAAACTAAATATATATATTAAAGTTAATTGGTATGCAAATTCTGTGGAGGCCAATTTAACGAATTGTCGTGGCTGCCACAAAATATCGCAGCAAAATATAAAACTCTACTCGAGTAGAGTTCGTGACTTTTCGAATACTTTATAAGCCAGCTTTAAATGGCAAAAGTTTAGCCAACGAGCGAAAATGATGTAAAGAATTTACTTTAAATGCAAATGTTACAGAGATTAAAAGCGAATAAAAACATTTACATATGGTCAAATGCATATGCATGTATGTCTACAGTTAACTGTGCTGCCAGATACCAAAAGGAAACTTGGGTTAAATAGTTTGTTGCTATTCACAGCATAAAAGTTGAGCTGGGGAAATGTTTAAACGGAAATGTCTGACAGAAAAGTTGCCAAAGCAAATTTTGTTTTCAGAAATGATTTATAAACTTTTGACCCAGTAAAACGTTTATGAGAGATGATATAAGAATGATATGTGAACTGTAGTAGAACTGTAGCTGAGAGAAAGTATATTAAGCTATTTTCTATTGTCAATAGAGCAAGGCACAGACTGAGAAAAGTTTAAAAAAAAAAAAGGACATAAAGAAGAGAGAGAAAATTGCAATTAGTTTAGCATTTCAATTTAGGTTGAAAGCTTTGCAGCCAGTAAAACGTTTACGAAATGAAATAAATATGAATTGTATGTGAATTGAAGAAGAGCGCAAGAACTAGATATAAAGAAACTGAGAGAAGGCGCACCCAGCGATTTTTTATTGTCAATACAGCAAAATGTAGACAGAGGAATGTTTAAGAATATTACATAAAGAGATATAGAAAATAAATCAGAACTCAATTAAGCCTGAGAGGAGTAAGAAATTAGAATATATAAAATTACTACAAATTAATTTAATTATTAATTTGCTTTTAAAATTTTGCAGCCAGTAAAACGTTACTTAAGGAAAATGGTCAATTACTAACTATAAACACAAGATGATAAACACAAAATTAACTCAGCTAAAAATGTGGCAGCTGCCGAAGGGAATTATAGCAAACATTCTCTATTAGAACAAAACGTAGACATGAAAACCTTTAAGAATATGCCACAAAAGAGAAATAGAAAATCTCACTCAATCAAGCCAGTCAATAGAAGCGTAAGAAATATTAGTATAAGAATAGGCGCCAAGAGAACTAGTAACTATGCTCCTAAAATCAAAACAACATTGAAGCCGAGCAGCCAGTAAAACGTTTAAGAAAGCGGCATAAAAGTGCAGTGAAAGAAGAAAAGCAGCAAATACTGAAAAGCTACTTCTAGTATTATGTTTTCTTTGTATTTATAATAAAAAAAAATTAGAGTTAGTAAAACATTAAAGAATGCATCTAAAATAGAAAAGAAAATGTTTTAGAATTTATTATTATGAATTTGCCGGTAAAAAGTTGGTACAAAATGCTTAGACAATGCCAACGCTCAACGCCAGCAAAAAGTTGTCATAAATAAAATTAGAAAACGCTCAAAAGCAAATGAATTATCGAGAGTGAAGAGGAAGAGCGAAATTGTTTTGTGTCACGTAATTTGCAATAGATATACGCCGCAGATCGAATGCTTTTGTTTTTCATCAAGCTGCACTTCAGGAAAACAAGAAAACAAAAACAAGTTTCGAGCAAGGCAGAAAGGAATAAATTAGAGGGAGAGGGACAGTAAAACAAATTAATGTTGTTGTGTAGTGAAGCAAACGAAGTACAAGAATTGCACACTAAACAACGATTCACACACACACAGAGACAGCAAATGGCACCAGCGAGATGTGTCATAAAGCCTAACTGAGAAAAAAAAATGCTGCATGTCATTCCGGCCATTGTGTGTTGTGTGTGTGTGTGTTTGTGCTTGTGTGAGTGATACAAGTTGGTTTACTTAGGGCCGCACGTGGACCAAACTAACGAGAAACTGTGAAAAATTACGAAAAAAAATGAACCAAAGCTGAATGTTGATGAGAGTCTATACGCCGGGCACCGCCAGCGAAATGTGTCAAGGCAAGAGGCGAGACGCACACACGCAGCGAGGAATTTTGGGTAAACACTAAAATAATTTAGTTGTTTTAAACAAATATGCAAGAGAGAGAAGAGGAGAGTAAAATTCAAAATTTTGATGCCTCAGCAATTTTTTGCGCACTAAAGAAAAATGTGGAAAAAAATTCAATGTCGCTGAGGCAAAGCGAAACAAATCGATTTTTGCTAAAGATTTGCTTATTAAATTTAATTTTATGAAATATATATATATAAGAAATATCATATGTAAGCCAAGTTAATATTCAATAAGCGACTGTCTGACTGGCTGGCTGCAGTTCAAGCTGCTGCCAAGGTGCTTGGCAAAGGTTATTTCAAAGTCTGCGCACAAAAGTATGCTATAAAAATTCAGTTAACTGCGATACACAACTATATATACATATATTTATACACTCACTCACTCACACACACACACACTCACACTTTTGGTTAAGCTGCATGTTGTGCGTCGTCACATGCAAATGCAGCTGCTAACCCGTTTTTTTTTCTTATTCTTCTTATATTTTTTATTACTTGACTGAAGCGCACACGACTCTGAGGCGGCTGCAGACTCAAGGACATGCAGATCGCTTGGCACGCGCAAGCATTTTATTATTTTCCACTCGCTAATTAATAAATCCACGCCACATTATATGGCACGCGCCTGACTTAGCACTTTGTTTCTTTATTTTTTTTTTGTTTTTTTTTTTTGTTAACGCCTCGGAAACGGAAACGTGCACAGCGTCTCGCTTGAACGCTGCGTTTTCGTTACGTTGCGATGAGAACGTCGCGCAGCTCTGCACCAAACTGAATGGCGGCACACAGGAACATGGCTAACTGCCCGCTGCTGCTGCTGCTGCGGCGACGTCAACTGCGACGGCGACTGCGACTGCGACTGCGACTGCGACTGCGACTGCGACTGCTGCTGTTGACTGACTTTCAATCTTGACGTCTATGACACTGGCCAAAGCCAAGCAACTGTCATTGAAGCCAGTGCGAAACAAAACGCACAAAACTCAACTTCCCAACTTTCCCATTGGTGTGTGTGTGTGTGTGTGTGTGTGTGTGACTGTGTGTAGCAACTTCCTAGTTAAGCATTTGCTCTTTACATGCCAAGCTCAAGGCTCTCTTAAGTCTTGTGGCCACGCAAATTAACTAGTACAAACTGCTAGAGTTGTCAAGTGCGCAAAAAGCTGAACAAAATATTAAAATTAATAAAATATTTATTAAAAAAATATTCAAATACTTAAAAAAAAATATGTAAAAGAAAAATTTTAAAAAATCAAAACAATAATTTTTCAATAATTATCTGTTCAACTTGATTTACTTTTTAATTTATAAAAATAAAAGTTCAGTAATTTTAATAATCCTTAAAATGTAAATAAATAAGAATTTATATTGAAGCTTAGATTTCTGTGAGTATTATTTATAAATATTTATATAGCTATATTAAATCATAACAACAAAAATATATATTTTTTTTAAATTTATTTTTATGTTGTTTTTTTGTCATTAATTTTTTAAACCAAAATATTTAACTGTGTATGCGAGCACGTGTTATATAACAATACAAACTCACAAATACAGAGAGCGACATACAAACACACAGTTGCTGTCTCTCTTTCTCTCTCTGTTAGAGCGCAAGAGCATAAGAGCTGTCGGCCGCGTAACCCAGAAAATGGCAACAAAACAAATTGACGAAAATCGTGTAATCAACAAGAATTTGGCGCCAAACGGAACACGTGTTCATCACAACGTTTCGTTTCCATTTCGTTGCGTTTCGCATTCATAAACATTGAAGCTTTTGTGTGACGTCATATGTGGCCTTATGACGTCAGTCGAACGAAAAGTCTACAAAAGTTCTAAATGAACACGTCACCAAGTGAAGGGGGAGAGCATTAAAAAAAAGAAGATGGAGAGAGTGCGTTTTTGTGGCGCCATCTAGTGGTTAGGATAAGCAATATTATGCACGCTTTTGAGACGTTTATTTTGAAAGTTCTGTATTTATTATATTAAATATGATAAAATAGAAGCATAAAATAAAATATATAAATAATTCAAAAATAATTATATATTTATAAATTGAAATAAAATAAATATATAAAACTCAATTTTATTTCATTCTATTTTTTTAACTTAAAATATATTGACAAACAAAAATTATATTTTATTTATTTTTTAATATTTAAAAAATATTTATAAACCATTTTAAATAACAATTAAGTTTTATTTTATTGAATTTGTAAATATATATTTTAAAAACAAATATTTTTTAAATTTTTGTGAATTTCACTTTTGAGCTTTTAATTTTATTCATATTTTGCCTGCCTTTGTCCAATATTTATTCATAGTTTCAGCTGTTAAAAAAATTTTGTTGTGCAAATTTAAACAGCAGCAAATAAAACAAATTGTGAATGTGCATATGTAAGTTATGCAAAGGTCCATTTGCAGGCAGCAAATATGTAACAAATACAAAAGAATTTGCGCCGTCAAATCAGAAGCCACAGAAAAAAGAGATGAAAAGCGAAAAAATAAATGGAAACTGAAGCCGGAAATGGAATTTGATGTCAATAAATTGAGAGAATGTTGAAAAAGAAAATGCGACTAAGCAAATCAATATGAAATAAGGCAGTAGACGAAGTGAATCGCTGATGCCAACTGACAGCAGCCACAAATTCCGCACTTAGCGCACACACATGCGGCACATGCAACGCTTGCAACGATTGCATTTATTGCATCCATCAGAAATTAAACAGCAAACGCTACTCGCGTCGCATTAGCGAATCAGTGAATCAAAAGTGCAAAATCTTCGAAAGAAGGAAACGAAGTCAAGTTGCCAACAACTGGAACTTGACTGAAAATCCAAGTCAATTCATGAGGAAAAACAAAACAACGACAACAACAACTTAATCCAGTGGGAGACATTAAATAGTCAGGCAATGCAGATTGAGTCTACTTCGTAGAACATTTTACGAAACAATTATAAGCCTATCCACAACTTATTCAACTAATATTAGACTTCAATTGAGTCTGGATGAGATTATTGTAAGCAATTAGGCATTATTAATATTATTCTCAGATATATGAAATAAATATAGAAAATAAGATCATAAATATACCTTATTTAGTAGCCTAAGACTTGGAGCTGTTTTTAGGTTTGAGCTCATGAAGAAGTTTTTTTAATTCATTACATCCAAATTTTAAGTTTATTTGAAATGTAATTATATTTTGATTTAAAAAAAGTTTCAACAAAAACTCACACTAAATATAAGTCTTAATGTCTTATAAAAAATATAGAAATAATATGTAAATATATGAAAAATATTAAAAATAAAAACAATATATAAAATAATATAAACAAATATTAATTATATTAATAATATATAAAATCATATAGCAGAAAACAATTATTAATAATAATATCAAAATATATATATAAAAATTATCAATGTTATATAAATAATACTAAGAACTATAAATAAAATAAGAAATTAAGCATAATATAAAATTATGAATAATGCATAAAATAAAATATAAAATAATATAAAAATTAAAATATAATATAAAATCACATAAAAGTTATATAAATAAAATAAAAAATATAAAAAGGAAAATAATAAATAACTTTTTATAAACCAATAATAAATAAATAAATTTTTTAAGGTTTAATTATCTCTAGCTGCTTAAAAAAAATTTAATTATATCTAGATTTATAATATATAATATATTATAATATATATATGTATATATAGAAATATATATTTTTTTCTAGGTCTATATATATGTCTATATAAATACATATCTTCAAAAACTCGCTTAAGCCAAATCTTAGTTATCTTAGTGCAGTGCGTGCTTAATATTCGAGTGGAATTTTGTTGAAATACTTCATTGAAATGCGAGACAGCAAGGACAATGCAAGAAATGCATGAGCTAAAAGTCAAATCCCAGAGACAAGAGAATGAAAATGTTAGAAGCGAATTAAATGGCACTAAATGCCCATTCTTAGCCCTGAGTGAGTCTGTGTGTGTGTGTGTGTCACTTAGTAAGTGTGTGTGTGTGTGTGTGTGTGTCAAGTGAATTTGTAGTCAATTTCCTGCAATTTGTCGTTGGCAGCAGGCGATAATAATGCCAAGGATGCCGATGAGGAAGCTGAGCTTCCTGTAATGATACGCAGCGCACAATCAAGACAACACAATACACTTTAACACTCGCACATGTGTGTGTGTGGGTGTGTGTGTTGGTGAGATTGCGTGTGTTTCTATATATATAAATATAAAAACAAATTAGAATGTGTGCAAAATATGGCACAAAATGAATTTTTGGCATACCAATGCTGCAAGCAATTTGTCGACGCCTAATGGAAACAAGCGCGTGAAAGATACTTCAGTAGGGGTAGTCCCTCGCTCGGAGTAGGGTGGGGTTGAGTAGTCTCTGCAACTGGCATTCACATGTTTCTGGCCGTGCTGATAAGTGCTTGTTGTTTAGTCCCCAAATTGAGTGTTTCGACAGTTTGGACGAACCGAACGTCGCTGGCGAATGCTTCTGTCAGGCATTCGATTCCAATTAGAAGGCGCATTCTGTGCGCGTCTCTTGCGCGGTCTGACTGCCTAAATCGCATTGACACGCATTTACATGTCTCGGCAGCCAGTAAATTGAACAGCCTAATGTGCCAAGCAGCAGGACTCAGCACACACACACACACACACGCACACCCACCTTCTCAGCACACACACTATTGTAATTAAAATGTCAGCACAAAGAAAGACGCGCAGCCTCCGCACTCTGGCTCGACTCTTGGCTGGCAATGGTCCTTTGGGCTTATCAATTTAGATTGCTGTCCGCAGACAAGCCTCAAAATTGCAAAAACTGCAAATGAAAATTAAATACATATATACTAGAAAAAAAGACGACCAACACAACACAACACAACACAAACATAACTGTCAACCGCAAAAATATCATAGGGAATAACTCTGCAGACATAGATCAGATCCCATTTCTGTTCGGGCACATCATCAGACAGCAGACCCGACCCTTCAGGCAATGAGACAAACATTTTTGATGCTTCTTTTTTCATTTTGGCAAATTTCTTTCTTGTTTTCATTTCTCATATCCTGCAAAAGATTTTTAAAAAATTGCGTGCAAATGTGTTGAGCTAATGGAAGAGTGGCGCAAATATATTTGCCGCGCATTACATATCTTAAATTTTATTTATTAGAATATTTAAGTTCAAACTTAGGCAAGGTTATAAAAAAATTTATTAATCAAAAATAATCACATAAAATAAAACATATTATAAAATAAAAAAAAACCGAAACTTTATTGGAATTAAATTTATTTTAATTCCTACTGAAAGAAAATATGAATTAGAATTGTAACAAGCTTTAAATATTTATAAACTTTGCTAAAAAAATTTTAAATTCCTCTAAAAAAAATTAAAGTAAGCCTAAAAACTTTGATAAACTTGTTTTTTTCTTTTGCTTAACTGCCGCACAAACTTTTTCCCATTTGAATTTCTTAGCACGTTTCAATTTCCATTCGTCTTAAGTGAAATTTCACTATAAAAGTTTACATAATAAAATATGCTTTATGTTAATTTAGAAAATTTTTACATAGTTTTAAATTGTAGATTTACATTTTTTAAGCTGTAAATTGTATTCAAGCAAAAAGTTTATTGCAATTGCTTACAAAAAAATTTAAACAACAGATAAAAAATATATCAATAAAATTAAAGCTATGCGTATATTTATAAATTATAAATATAAAAAATAAAATATAAAAAAATGTTTTTTTTAAACT